AGAGAGAGAGAGAGAGAGAGAGAGAGAGAGAGAGAGAGAGAGAGAGAACAGATGAACAGACATGATGTAGACAGACATAAAGAGACAAATAACAGACAAATGAAAAGAAAGTTAAAGAAAGACAGTGACAAAGAGAGACAGAAAGATAAAGAAAGAAAGAAAAAGAAAGACAGAGGAAAAGAGACAGATGCAAAGACAGACAGAAAAGAAAGAAGAAAATAAAGAGGAATAATAAAGAGGAATAATAAAGAGGAAGTAAAAGGGAAGTGGTAGCTCAGTGGTTAAGACGCTGGACTTCTGCTTGGAAGGTCATGAGTTCAAATCCCACCCCGACCAGGCTGCACTGTGGGGCCCCTGAGCGAGGCCCTGAACCCTCAGCTGTGTAAATGAGATGATTGTAAGTTGCTCTGGATAAGAGTCATTCACATGAATGTAAATGGAGTGAAGAAGGGATGAAAGCTCTCCGTCCGGTCCTGCTGAGGAACCTGCCATGGTTCCAGATCACACGGCAGTATGTACACGTGGCCTAATGGTTAGAGAGTCAGACTTGTAACCCAAAGGTGGTGGGTTGGAGTCTCAGGTCCAGCAGGGACTGTAGGTGGGGGAGTGAATGACCAGCGTCTCCTCCAACCTGGGCAGGTAAAAGACACTCAGTACAGGTAGTGAGAGTCCAAACCCATTAATCAGGAAAGGTTCTGTTGATACTGATGTTGGAATAATGGATCATTAGCATGTTTTTGCACAACACTTTCGTTATGCTCTCGTTTGAGAAGAACGCGGTGAGATCAGGAGGAGGATCTCACACATCACGTAAAGCTCCGCTCAGCCTGAACATCTGCATACCAGCAGCGCAATTAAAGCAATCAGGAGCCGTCCGTCTGCATTTCTTCCCCCTGAACACACCGCGCACAGGAACGCCAACAATCCCGCGTTCAGCTCCTACTGCACCCTTTTACCGCCAAGACAGACGGAAAGACACAGACAGACAGAAAAATACAAAAGATAGAAAGAAAAAAGGACACACACGAACAGACAGAAGGAAAGAGACAGAAAGAGATAAACACACATGGAAAGAAAGAAACAGAAAGAAGATAGACAGATGAAGACAGAGAAGCAGAAAGATTATATATATAAAAAAAGACAGGACACTTAAACATGAGGAAGTGAGGAGAGGAACTCAAACGAGGAAGTGCTGGACCCCTGAATAAAGCAATATTTTTTACTGTTTCATCGTTAATGACGTTTACAGTTTAACCAGAATTTTATTTATTTGTTTCAAGAACAGGAAATCAGATTAAATTTAAAGATGCACTGTTAGGAAAAAGAGTCCAGTCTAGAACATTTAAAGGTTCTTCCGTTTTCACAGTGGTTCCTCATCGGAGAGCATTTTCAGGAACATAAAAACCATTGATCACCCACCAAAAGAAGAACCCATCAAAACACTAAAGACTCATTCAGTCCTCTATTTCAGCCTATACCAAAAATGTGCTTGTTAAGACCTCTCTTAGAATTTGGGCTCAGTTTAAGCGTTATTTTGGATTTCAGTCTCCCTCTACCTCTGCCCCACTGGCTGCTAATCATGCTTTTCCTCCCTCCTTGGCAGACAGTTTCTTCTCAATGTGGTCAAATTTGGGTATTAATACCTTTAAAGACTTGTATATAGATAACATTTTTGCATCTTTCCAGCAATTATCAGACAAATATTTACTTCCAGGGCAGCATTTTTTTTTTTTTTTTTTTTTAGATATTTGCAGGTTCGTAGTTTTGCGTAGTACATTCTCTACATTTCCTCGGCTACCTAATGACACTGTCTTAGATGGTTTTTTGACACCAATTTCATCTTTGAAAGGTTCAATTTCATATATTTATAATTTGATTAATCTTATTCGCATTGATTCCCTGAATTCCATGAAGGCCCTTTGGGAGGGGGATCTGGGGCAGGAAATACCAGAGGGGGGTTTGGTCTGAGATTTTGGCGCGTGTACATAACTCCTCTATTTGTGCTAGACATGGTCTTATACAATTTAAAATAGTACACCGTGTGTATTATACTAAAGCGCGGCTGTTTAAGATTTTTGGCGATGTCTCCCCAGCATGTGTTGGGTGTCAGCAGTCTCCTGCAGATCTCTGACATATGTTCTGCCTCTGTCCATCCTTATACAACTTCTGGATGGGAGTCTTTGACACCTTATCAGAATTAATTGATGTAAAAATAGAGGCAAATGCTCTTACGGCATTGTTTGGGGTCTTTCCCTCATCATCTGCGTCTTCCATTTCTACATCTAAAAAGAATACCTTGGGCTTTTGCTTCCCTACTTGCTAGAAGGCTAATAGTGACTAACTGGAAATCACCAACATCTCCCTCTCATTCTCAATGGATTAGAGATACCCTTTTTTTCGTTAAATTGGAAAAGATTAGACTCTCATTAAAGGGTTCTTCTAATACATTCAGGAAAATATGGGGCCCTCTTCTCCAGCTGGATAAGAGGATACATTTCTCGTCCTCCTTAGTTTGATGTGACTCTCATGGTCTGGCTGGTCGTTAATATCGTGTTTGGCGTGGCACTGGTGATGGTCTGATCGTCTATTACGGATTCACTTGTATGTGAGCTGGCAGGGTTTTTTTTTTGGTTTTGTTTTGTGTTTTTTTTTTTTTTAATTATAAAAGGTGCTTATAACTCTTGATTCCTTCCTAGTATTGTGTTGACAATCATTCTGTTTTTGTAAAACCCAATAAAAAAAACACTAAAGACTCAAACGCTAAACAAAGCCACGCCCCCACGTATACAGCTGTCCTGATTGGTTGGGTGTTGATGGTCCACGTCACATGAGGTTCTTCAGTCTACACTCTGGAACACAAGGACCAGAGGTTCTCCTCTGTGCAGATAAAGAGCCTCATTTAACCGCCACCTACTGTTCCCAAACACCTGGAATGTCCCAGGTTATTAGAAGCTGTTTCTAGTTCTCCAAACCTCTGGTACTGGGGGAAAAAAGCACTATGACAGGTTCCTCAGGTTCTCTCTCTAAGAACAGCCATAAAGCTGAGAGGAATACTACACAAATGGAGAACCTCCATGTTCCTGTATAAGCTCGTCCTCCTTAACTCACCTGGTGGGTTGTTCCTTCGATGAGCATGTGGATCCTCAGGTTCTGCGAAAATGCTGGAAGCCATTTTGTTTTTGCGAGCGGCGGGTTTCTCCTCTTCGGTGCCGAAGCAGATGTTGGACCCTCCGCCTGGTGGACGGAGAACCCTGGAAAACACACACACGCGCACACACACACACGGTCAAACACATCAGTGATGTCTTTAACAGCTACATGGTTGTTCGGTTGTTCCTCTGGGGTAAAGGTTGTAGAATCCTACAAAAATGAGTTCCAAGTAGAACGGAGTCCTCAATTATCCAACTCCTACAGAACCCTTGAAGAACCACTTACCAAGGTCCTGAGTATTAAGAAGAAACTCATCAGCAATAATTTAGAGTTCGTACCACACACTTAGCCAAATAAGCTTCCTAAAAAAAAGGGTTCTACTTGGAAAACACTCTGTTGGTGGGTTCTACAGCCTACAGAACCTTTAATGGTCCTGCAGAGGCAGCACCAAAGATCTCGTGAAGTTTCTAAATTTCTGAAGAGCATCTTTGAACTTTAGACTTTGACTAATGTGAATAAGAATCTCAGTGGAGTAATGAGAGCTTGCACGCGTTCTTCTTTCCCTTAGAACCCACATTTTCATTGGAAATGAAGCTAGAACACGAGCCCATGAGTACCACACACACACACCTTACAATTATGGCAACAAAGAACCGGTTAAAGAACGTGCCGTGATTTCCACAGTCATCTGGGAGCAGAAACAAATCAGCGTAAGTGGAACAGTGGTAGAACCTTTAAGCTTTCATGAACCTTCAAGAACTCTAAGCAGTGAGGAACATGCGAGGCAGAGAAGCTCATGAGCTGATGATCACAGAGCTGACAGCAGCAAGACGACTGCAGCGACAGTAACGCAGCATTAAACACCAACGCTGGTCTCCTGTGGGCGTGGCCTAATGCAGCTGTGCTAGCCACATTATCTCCACCTCCTGTCACTTCTACACCATCACTGTTCCTTCTTCTTCTTCTTCTTCAGTGTTGCATTATTTTAGTAGACATTAAACAAAGATTTTTTAAATGCAGCTCGACTGGATTAGAAGTCATTATGGAATTCAGAGCACAGATATCGAATGATCAGCGTGACTCACTGCCACATCACCCTCGGCTTCCTGCTCACGGCCAAAACACCGCTTCAAGAAATATGTGTCACACACACACACACACACACACGCACACACACACACACACACACACACACACACACACACACACACACCATTTTATTTAACATCTACACAACCGAGTTGTTTCACAAAGACCAAAAATTACCAACTCTAATCAGTCAAAAATACTCACTAATGTAAATAAAGGGTTTGTCAGTGTTATAACCGCACTGACTATACTTATGACAAATAAAAAATTATCGCATTACACACACACACACACACACACACACACACACACACACCATATTATAGGACATGACCCAGCCCTTTATGATTGAGCTTTATGACCTTTATGACCTTTATGATTGAATTGTTTTGCTCTTTCTTTGGCTTACAGGTGTGTTAACACACAATAAATACCACAGTGTGCACAGTGTGCACAGTGTGTGTGTGTGTGTGTGTGTGTGTGTGTGTGTGTGTTTAGAATGACCTTTGGGCATGTCAAAGAGAAGTGAAACCACACAACACAAAGAAAACAGACTATCAAAAGTAAAACATGACAACACATCGTCTCAAAAGCCAGTAGAAAAGCAGCAGCAGGTCGTGTCCTGATCCCAGGACGGAGTCATCTTTATGATCTCGTGTGTGAAACGATACACTCCCGTGTACACTCCAGAGCAGATGTTACTATCACTCCGATGGGATTCGTTTTCTGGTCGTTCTGATTGAGTCACACAGGACAAGGGTCATATTTCATGGGCGTGTCTCGTTTTGTGGCGTACTTCCAAAAAAAATAAATAAATAAAAAAACCACATGTACTACACACACTACTAGATCCACATGTACTACTCATTTTAACACACACTGAATGTCCTGATTTTTATTTTTATTTTTTTATATAAAGTGCTTGTTGTAAGGGGGCGTGGCCATGCTTGAGCATTAGCAGGTCACATGACCGTGACATGTCTGTAGTAGTGTGTATCTGTGCTAGGAACTCAATAACGTCCCTAAAAGCCCCAGAAGTGTTGCTTCTCTGACACACCCTTTCACACCTATCTTTTTTTTTTTTTAATTGTTCTGCA